AAACTGGGCGTGTTGGCACATGCCAGTAATCCCAGCACTCTGGAGGCTGAGGCAGGAGGATCGTTGCGAGTTCAAGACCAGCCTGGGCTACAAAGTGAGCTCAAGGCCAACCTGAAGTGCATAGCAAGACCCTGTCTCAAAAAGACAAAAAAAATAATAATAATAAAGTAGGTTATTTCATCTTGCCTGTGCAAGGACCGCCACCACCTCATATGTTGTGATTCTTATAAAGATCACATGGAATTTGAAATGAGATTAGTCCACAGTTCTGTATTCATCTGTGGCAATGCGAACAGACAACCCTGAGTGTAAGAAGTAAAAGAATGCACTATTCCAGAGAATTTTTTAAAAGACTAAAAGTCAAAATGATTTTTATTATCATTATATACTAGCAATTGAAAACAATTTCAGTGATAAAATATTCCTCTTGCACAATAAAATGTGTTGGTCAAACTTCAAAACAATTTTTGTGGTTACTATCGACTTTTAACACACACATGAAATTAGCAACTTTCATTACTTGTCCTTTAATCAACATTATATTCTATATGGAATTTGACTCAGAGAACTCCTAGTTATATAGTTAGCCCCAGCACACACATATTTAACTATATATTTTCATTCAGTTACTTCACTTTGTAAAAGGGTTAAAGTCATTCAAGTTAGCTCTAAGTATCTTGTATCTACAATCCCTACGATACTGTATGTTTCAGCATGTAAATAGAGGGTTTAAAGTAAACAATGGGGGGCTGGGGATTTAGCTCAGCGGCAAAAGCGTCTGCCTGGCAAGTGCAAGGTCGTGAGTTCGGTTCCCGGTACCGGAGAAAAACCAAAAAAAAAAAATAAATTAAAAAAAAAATAAAGTAAACAATGCTAGTATAGCATTTATAAAGATAAAAATGATAATTCTATCATTGGGTGCTACCACTGGAGTTTTTATTTATGCTTAAAATAAAGAGCACGAAAATTCCAACTGCAAATTATATTTTTGTTCAGTGAACACACATCTTAATTCACACTTAAGTTTTAAATTCAAATTCCTTTAAAATATGAATTTATTATTCTTTTTCACTGGTTAAAATTAAAGAACAAATCAAGAAAATTAGGAATCAACTTCATGAGTAATACTAAAAATAACTGTATCATACAGAGGATAGAGTTCAAAATTTTCAATTCCAGATATCACGTATGCTAGTTATACAACATCTCCAAAGTATTAATGATGTACTTAATGCTCTCAGAATCAGGAAAGTAGGGAGGCTGGGGATGTGGCTCAGTGGTAGAGTTCTTGCTGCATGTACAAGGCCTTAGATTCACCAAAAAAAAAAAAAAAAATCAAGAAAGTAGGAAACTAATTCATTAGTATTCTATATGGAACCACCCCTTAATTAGCCTCATTAATGGCTAAGAGTTCAAAGCAGATCATTAAATCACTCAGTTGAAATGTCCTTCCAAGCATTTGTTCTTTCTAGCTCCACTCAGCTATCTCAGGATCCAAACAGATAATCAGAAAGGAAAAGGACATAAAGCATCTACAAACAATGCTAGGTACAGCCCTTTCATCATATAGATCATCTCCACATTATCACCAAGATCTAAACCACCATTACACCAAACATAGACTACACTATTTTAAGCAACTTTTCACAGCTCTTGTCCTTGCTCTAATACAGCCTATTACTCTGACAAAATTTCAAACAAATCATGTGCCCTTATCTATTCAAAATCTTTCAGTGGCTCCCCATTTCAGTCACATTAATTGCCCAATAAAGTTGGTCTATTTTCTCTCTGATTTTAACTGCCATTCTTCCACTAATTCTGCACCCTCAGAACATTGTTCCTTCAACCAATTATGTTTTTTCTGCATGACCCTTACGCCTAGAGCCCTATTATTCTGAATACACCCATGGAGCTTACTCCTTCATTTTCTTCACACCTCTGTGCAAATGCCATTTGAGACTTTGACTGGTCTATCTGATACATCATCCCCCTATCTCTTTTTGTTGTCTTCCCAGTATTTTTCTTTCGGTGCTTAGCACATCTTGGAGTATTTTATACTCATTTGTGGGGGCTGGGGATTTAGCTCAGTGGCACAGCGCCTTCCTGGCAACCTCAACGTCGTGAGTTTGATTCCCAGTATCGGAAAAAAATTTTAAAAATTAAAAAAAAAGCCAGCAATATACTCATTTGTGCAATTCCTTAGTTTTTCTCTCCATCCTAGGATGTGAACTCCCTGAGAATAAGGATATTTTTTCGTTGTTCACTGCTGTCTTGTCTCCTTCTACATCCTTGCCAATTCATATTGGATATCCTATATCTTTAAAATAAATTAATGATATCAAAGCACCTATCAGATACTTTATTTCCATTTTATGGATGAGACTACCAAGGCTAAAAGAGGTTTGACAACTGGCAAAGATTTCAGAAGTGAAAAGTATAAAAACCAGCCCTGAAGCTTACACTTGTGACTCTCAGAAGTGTTCTTTTCACTCTATGCACAGTGCCTAGCCCAGCACAAACTAGCATTGCAGGCAGATGTTATAAATAAACATAGTGAATAATGCACCATTCGATGTGAATTCAGTGTAACAGCCCCTATACAGCAATTCACAGTGTAACACCCTCTATCAAGACATATGCTATTCTATCAAATTTTGAACAATGTGTATGTTCAAGGACTATGAGTTACACATTACACTTTAAATAAGTTACAACAGTCAAATGTTCTGAAAGGAAATCTCATTATTATAATAAAAAATCCAGTGTACATTTTAGGAGTCTTGCAAATGAAAGAAGAGAGAGAGAAGACCTCGTGACTAGCCACATTATAAAATGGTAGAAAGATACACACGCTTTCCTTTTTCCTAATAATCCATTAGTTAACTTTTATCTAACACCCACTCCTAGGAATCTTAGAAATTCAGGCCCGGAAGGAATTTTGGTGATCATTAATAGCTCATTTAAAGGTTTTTAGAAATCTGAAGCCAAGAACATTCTCACCAAACCTCTAATATTTGGGCCAAGATTAGAGCTTTCCTGCTTCCCATGCTAAAACAGTTTATTCCTCCTATCTTTTGATGTCTGGAAAATGCTAACTAATGCTATCATCATATAATATTTACTGTTGCAGTTCTTCAAAACTATAATAACAAAGCTGGGCATAGTGGTGCACGCCTATAATTATAATGCTCTGAGAAGCTGAGGGTTCTCCCCAGCCTACATAAGTTAGTAACTTAGAGACACCCTGCATCAAAATAAAAACATAGTAGAAGGGATAGGGATGTGATTCAGTGTGAAGACCCTGGATTCAATCCTTAGTACTACAAAAATATTATGAGATTTTCCCCATCAATTTTTCTTTGAGTTTTTAGTCTTCACCAGATATCTGCTACTTTATTCTCTCTCACACATACACCTGGCAAAATTTCAAATTTCTCCATTAATTTAATATGTCGTCAGTGGGTGGTTTGCGGGGGCCTAATGTACTACAATATATGTGGAAGAGGTGTAAAGCTTCACCCAGAGTCATCTGCCAGAAATGCCAAAACTGGCATGGGGTTTCAGGCAAGTTTATATTTGTTCATATTTGAAGAAGGTCCCTTCCTAAGAGCATGACTACTTTGTGCATTTCTGCCTCTCTCAGAAACATCTGAACACTTGATTCTGTATAGCAGTGCTGAAGGACAGTAGGAGAGTCAAATGTTTATAGCCTTGAGCATGTCTTTCACCTCTCTGGGTGTCAGTTTTCCTGGGTGGACCACAAGGACTCTAATATTTTCACCTGCTCTAACCTTTCCTGATTCTGCAAACATTTGATGTAGCTTTAACAGCACTCAAGGGAGAGTAAGTCTGGGAAAGGGTTCTCTTGAAGCCTTTGCTTTTAGACATATAAAGTTATTGCTTTTAAAAATCACTGAAACAGAGATCCTGAGACAAACCTTGAGAAAGGGACAGGGACAGTTTCTCTTAATAAAGTCTCATAGCATATTCCCTCCTCCCTTCCAGAATATGAGTAAAACAGAGTTAAATATCAAATTTTGCTCAATCACCTCAGGCTACTTTGTGTCAGCTACAGGTTGTGGGTGACAATGCAGAAGTGGGGACCGTCATTGTGATCAATACCTACAGACCCAACTCATCTGCCCTCCAAGACCTTCTTGTTCATGTCTGCTCTCTGAGGACAAAGCTATTGTGGCCTCTCACTCCCCAAAGGACCTGATCAGGTTTCAGTCAGTGAAGCATCAAGATGCGGGCACCACTTCCTTTCTGCAAAGGGAAGTCATTCCAAGGTCTCCAGGTAGAAAAGAGCAACATGGCAAAAATAGGATGATGCTAGACGCACACAAGCACACACGGGACACGGGGGCTTTGCTACCTGGATGGGGCCCAGAATGGGGGTTTCTGCAGATGTCACAAAGCCCCAAGTATGGACGGGGTGACCCCAGCCCCAGGGAAAGGTTTGTGGGGCTCTCCCAGGCAGCTTCCCTCAGAATGGCTTTGTGATTCTTATACCCTAGGACTGGCCAGCATCAGGGGGTACATGGAGCCTAGCTCCGGAGATGGGTTAGGTGCAGCTCCCCCAAAGGCCCTCTCCGTAATTCAGGCTTTCTGACTGCTCCCTTCGACCCCTTACCAGCTTGCCTGCCTCCCCTGAGATTCACTGTTCTCAGAAAGCCCTTTTGCCAGCCCCCTTGCATCTCTGACCTCTCAGGTGACTCTTGAGCTGTTCCAGGACGCCTCCTCTAGCTCCCATCCCCATTTCACCCCAATCTCAGAGGACAGCAGAAATGCGGAGGGGGATGGGAGGGGGCTATCCTAGGCCCACGGGCCTGCAGGAGCTCTTAAAATGGCCACAGTAAGCTCACTGGCGTCTCAAGGATGGCGGTAGGAGCGGTGGGCAGAGGTAAGGGGGGTCGCTGCGTGCAGGCTGGCTGGAAGAACTGGAGGTGGGGCTGGGGACTAAGGCTCAAGCAGGGGAAGCCAGGGTTAAATGCACTTACCATTCCTGATCCTCCCCTAATCCACTGCATGGTGCCCTGGAAGTCCGGCTTCTCTGAGGCCCGGCTCCTGCCGCGGATTGTCGCGGGCTGGCTAGGAAGTCTGGGCTGGAGGGAGAGAGAGCCCCAGCGCCCCCTCCGCCTCCCTTCCTCCACAGCCCTACAACCTAATCCCCTCCGCCCCGACCTTGCCTTCAGTCTGGTTGTTTCATGTCCGCAGACAGGCTCTGCCTCTCCGCCCTGCTGTTGGGGGTGGGGGGCTGCTTGGCCGCGAGAACCACGCGGTCAGGGGAGGGGGGATCCTAGTGAACTGCCTTTGTCCCCTATCAAGACTTGAGAACTGGAGGTAGGGTGTGGCCAAGAATGGAAGTAAAGGCTCTCCACCAGGGAGAAGGTAACAGCCACCTCTGCCTGTCTCCTCTGCGCTGGTGTTAGATCCTGTTTATTTGTGGAACTTCCCATTTGTGTTGAATCAGGGGAAAGTCCTCTTCAAAGTTACTAAGGTGTTGGGCCAATCTCTGAATAATAGGATCGAATCTCAGTGAGACCATGCCAGTACTGTAATGCTTTCTTCCCTCAAGTTCTGCCTCTGCATATTCCCCTGGGGTCTTCCCTACTGGAGTGTGCACTCTTTATTTTCTTTTTTTTATTTTAATCCGCATTACTCTAGAACAATCCTGTGGAGACAGGCATTAGTGTCCCCATTTTACAGATAAATAAATTAAGATCTGGAAGAGGGAAGGGATGTGTATAAGTTCAAATGAAAAAAATAAAGCTTTGACTTTATCTTCTGCGGCTTTCCAACCCACCTCCCAGCTGTCTCCCGCTTTCCCCAGTCCTCCCCCGCTCCCCAGTCCTCCCCCCTCCCCAGTCCTCCCCCTAACACTCCAGGCATCTCTGTATACATCAGGAGCATGAAAGGTGGTTTGCTGATTTTGCTGACAATGAGTCAAATATACAGCAAAGCAGGAAAAGGGAGAAAGAGCCCAACTCTTCATGATGCCCTCAACTCACAGCACAACCCAGGATGGCCCATTTGCATCTGCTGAGAGTTGATATTGTCAGTCACAGTCACACCATTATTCCATATAAGGCTAACAACAGCTCATTGTACTGTGAGGTGGACACAACAGAGTGTTCATGAAGCCCCTGTTGATGACAAGGACACTGAATCCCAAGAGGTTGAAGACACCGTATCCAAATTAGCACAATAAAAGAAGACAAGAATCCAAAACTCCTGGCTTAGTCAAGAAGGGAACTGTAGAAATAGAAATAGCAACAACAGCAAGAGGAAATGAACGTATGATATCAGAAATAAATTCCTGGAAATGATTGACATGAAGCCATCACTAGCATGGTATGCACACAGCCCTATTGTCTTCTACTTCTTTGCAAACCCTTCCCACTTCATACAAGCTGTTATTTTGACTAGACAGAGCTGCCCAAAGATTGAAGCCCCATTCAGTTCCCAGTCATGGGAGGTGAAGGTGAATGGCCATTTAGTGAGGGATTCTTGAATCAAATGGGAAGTTGGCCGGGGTGATGGTTCAACTTCCTCTCAGGGCTGGTAGTCTAAGCATCAGTAATTCTACAATGTCTCCTCACTTTCCCGTCTCTGGGCCTTTATTCACTGCAAACTTCTTGGATGTACCCTTCCTGCCAAACAGCCCATTCAAACTATCTTTTTAAGATGTGTCACTGGCAAAATCACCTTTAGCAAGCTTTCTAAGAATACTTTCAGGCCATGGTTTTAAATCCCACAATTGAAAAGGTTATTTTTATTTCCTGGTTATTAAAGGTTGAATTTTGTCCCTCTCTCCTTCATATATCAAACTTCCAGCTCCTGGTACGTTAGAATGTGAGTGTATTTGGGTATAGGTTCTTTAAAGAGGTAATTACCTTCTCCCATTATCCCAAGAAGGTTAAAATGAGAGCAATTGCATGGGGCCTTGACTAATGACTCTATATGAAGAGGAAATTTGAACAGACAGGTATAGTGAGGGTCTTGTGAAGACTGGGGAAACATTTATCTACAAGACTGTGAGAGAGACCTCAGAAGAAACTGGCCCTGGTGACCAAACCTTGATCTCAGATTTATAGCCTCTAGGACTTCAAGAAAATAAATTTCTGTTAAACCAGTCAATCTGTGCCACTTAGGTATAGCAGCTCTAGAAAATCAAAGCACTGTTCATATGTATATCTTTCTATTTCCTGTCACTTAAATAGAACTACAAGACTTTTATTTTTTATATTTTCAAAGCGGTAAGAATGAATTACTCATCTTAGTGTCTTCTACAACAGTGACTGACACATAGGAGATAACAAATAAAACCTTGGATTTTCTGATATATGCATTCATATATAGGGTGCCTATCTGCTAAGCATTGGGAAAGATACAATAGAAAACAAAGTCCTTCCCGGAGTTTACAATCTACTAGAAATAAAGGAGATAAAGAGAATAGATAAGTAAACAAATAAGATAGAGATTATGCTCTGAAAGATATGAACCAATATGTGACATGAGTACTCTGGGATTATATAAAGTGTATCAATCAGGAAAATAGAAACTACGCTAGATGTTTCCCCCTTGATATTTTAAACCGAGATAATTTAGTAGTGGGAGCACGTTACACTTGCATAGCAATGAAACCAAACAGCAGAAAGTAAAGCAACCCGGTATTTGGCAATCACAAAAAGCTGCTACCATTCCTAGAGATGGAGGGATAATGGGAGAAGGTAATGTTATTGGAACCCAGAAACAGGTGCTGCCATGTAGACACTAAAACCATGGTGAGATTAGAAGCAGGCACCATGAATGGAAAACTTATACAACTAAAGCTGGAGCTATGGGGGAATAAAACTCTCACAGGTGGTGGAGAAGGTACCTTGGCTTCTCCTTTCCTCTGCCTGCTAATCTCTTGAAAGGGTGTCTCATTAGAGAAAAGACGTGAGGGAGCAAGAGAGCCTAAGAAATGCATTTTAAGAAAAGTAGACAGTGGATCTGAAAGCAAGTGGGCCAGTGTTAATATAAGGTGTGATCAAAATATAGAGGAAGGCTTAAATTTTTAAAATAGTGATTATAGTAGCAGACAAATTACAACTGTCCTTCCCAAAATACTCTTCTATGTTTTGAGCACATTATACTATCATTCTTGCCACTTTCTGAAGCAGTTCTGGAAGTTTTCTTTCATGAATATCTTTACAAGTTGTGATAAAACAATACAGTGAATGCGCTGCAAGTGCCATCCAAAGGAAAGGCAAGCTCTTAAAAAAATTATACTATGTCCTCATTCATCTTATTCACTTGATCTTATTCACTATGACTTCTGATTTTCCTCCAAAGTCCAAATGACTGTGAAAGGTAAACATTCTGAACCAACTCAGGACACTGAGAGCACCAGGAGAGTGCGACGAAAACATGAAAGAGGGCAACTATAGACAATGCAACTAAAGATACTAATGACCCTGTCAGAAGAGGAAATTTGGACACAGGTAAAGGCATAGGGAGAGCACAGTTATCTAGAAATGCTTCAGAAAGTGGTAAAAAGGACGGAATAATTGGGTTGGAAGCAGGGGGGAGTATTTGGAAGGTAATTAATGACAATGTCTTTTATTGTTCCAAAATTTTAAAATTTAAACATTAGCTGTAATATTATTACATCTCATGCATATACCTAGAGAGTCTTGCAGAATAATGGGGGTTGATCCCAGAGACCTAATTAGATACCTTTAAACCAATACATTATACTCATTGGAACCCCACAAAAGTGTAATATAGAGAAAGGAAGAGGGGAAGGGAGTAAGAAATAGTGAAAATAACCAAAGTATGTTACGTGCATGTACAGATCTGCCAAAATTAAGCCCCTTAACCTGTATATACCTCATGTGCACTAATAAAAAGGATATGACACATAAAGGTGTAAAAAGTTTAATATGTCTAGAGCACCTATTTGCCTAGAGCCATATGAGCAGTTAGAGGTGACATAATATAGTAAGTAAGGTTATAGATACTAGAGCTAGAAGTATTTGTATTCAATTATTGCATGGCCACTTAGATTTAATGTTCTGTGACTGAACACCTTCTCTATCTGTGAACATGCTATCAAGGTTGCAAGATTTAATGAATTTATCCAAGGAAAGAACTTAGCACCTGACATCATTCAGAACTCAGGACAAAATAATAGAAATTTTCAGTTTTCACAATCTCTGTGTACCAGGCCTTTTTACTGAAGCTCTGTGATCTTTCTTAAAGCCTGTTTGGTACGTAGCCTGGCTCCAACTTTCAGTGAGCAAAGAACAAATATTGCCTTCTTTTTGGCCATGAGCAGCATAGGGAGAAAGGCAATCTTAGGTATGGTCCCAGTCTGGTACACTCTTTTCATTTTAGTGTATATTGATTCAGAATCCCCAAGAAGGGGCCTGTGAGGGCAGAGGTTTCAGCCCAAGCTGATTCTTAGCTGCTGCGGCTGTGCCTTTGTCCAAAGTTGACTCAAGGGCTAGATTCACTGTCGGTGAGTAGATGGAGACAAGCACCCAGCTTTTCTGTGTCTCAATTTCTTCACTTGTGCACATAGAGTTTTAAACAATCACTGATCCATAGATATCAGAGTTGACAAAGGTCCTAAAGATTATCTTCCCCATCATTCTCATCTTACTGATGAGATAATATAGTCACATGGAATGGAAAACTATCAAAACCACTAAGTAAGTTAGTAGCTGAGCATGAATAAAACCTCAAACCCTTGCTTCTAGATAGTGAATGGAGTATAGCAGTGAAAGGGAGTAAAATTAAAAGTACGAACTACTATAATTCTAGTATTAGTAACCCAAGGCTAACATCTGTATCATATCTATGTTGTCCTAACAAACTAATATTTTCTCTGCGTTTCTATGTTTGTGTTTTGGCTTTTTTTTGAGACAGGGTCTCACTATGTAGTGTGAACTCCCTTACATAGCCTAGGCCTGCCTCGAACTCACAGTGATCCTCCTGCCTCAGCCTCCCAAGTGTTGGGATTACAGGTGTGCACCACCACACCTGGCCAACAAGCAACATTTTATATGTATATATTACTACCTATTCTTATTTATAAATTCAATAAACATGTGTGCCTATTATGTGCCAAACACAGTGTGTTAAACCTTAATAGTATAACAGTAAACATGATGGAGACCACTCATGTTCTCATTTGTATTAAACAGACAAGTAAATAATGCAAATAAATATTTTAATACAGATGATGATAAGTGCTATGAAAGAAAGTGACAGGACAGAGAGTAATTCTGTGGGAGGAGAAAGAGAGGATAAATAAGGAAGGTTCTCCAAAAA